CAAGAATAACGTAGAGAGTATGATCTGAGAAAACACGTCCGAACGCCTTGACTTCTCTCTCGATAACCCATTCAAACAACCGCGCCTTGTTGCCAAGCAACGCGCGTCTTCCTTCACGGACGGCGAACCCCGGCGTATATCGGGCGACGATGCAGTTTGGACATAACACTGCCCTTCCTCTTGTAAATTGTCGTCCCGACAATTAAGAAACGTGCAGGCTTTCTTCTAAGAGATTCCGGGCTCCCCACCAGTTTCCTGCCTCGTTCTGTGCTGCTGTCACAGTTTTCTTGGAGCACTGGATTTCCTGGGATTTACTCATGCCCGAGGCCTCTTGAGGATCTTCTTCCCTTCTGAGTAGGACCCCTCTTCAGTTCCCCCCTCGGAGGGTAGCTAAGCCTCCGGAGGAACACCTAGTGGGCATCCCCTCATCTTCATGAAGGGAATTCTGATATCCTCTTGCCTCTTCTCTTGAGCCTTGCGTTCTTGTTTCTTCGTTTTTCGGACAGGGGGGGGAAACGATTGTAACTCTGCCACGGTACCTCTACCCCACAGTCCCCGTCTCGGCATTCGCCCACCGGCCCGCGGAAAAACCATGGCTCAAAAACCGCGGGCGAGACGGTCTTCTTAACAAAAAAACTCTACTGCCGCCGACAATTCTGCCGAAGGTTGCCTCCAGATGTTGTTATCGAAAGCCGCTGTCATCAAAACTTTTGTCCCAGGACTGTCAGCTTATCCTGAAACTGATAAATACAATCACGCGGAGCAACTCAACATTAAATAAAAATAAAAATAATAAAGATTATTTAAATCGATATTATGAGAACTTCGAGCATAATCATAATCTTTATTATCATTTTCATTCATCCTGTAAGAATACTTATTAGTAACATTATCAATAAAAAAAAAATTTCATTGTTATTAGCATATTGATTAATAACATGATTATTATTCGGGGCATTTTCCTCCAGTCGAATCGATCCCGCCAAGTTCGACTAATCTATGTTTTCCGCCCCCGTCCGGTCAGGACACTCAGAACGGAAGTGGCCTTCCTTGCCACATTCCCAACATTCTCTTTTATTTCCGACTTTTACTCCACTTTTGTTTTCAAAAAAATTTCCATTTTTGTTGACTTTATTATTCTCTTCTTTATTATTTTCAAAACAAGTTCCCTGAATTAACTGAACTGCTTTAGCTCTTTCTATGGCTATTCTAAGAGATGTAACCCCTTCCATCTGCAATGCCCTTTTTACAAAACTGTCAGACAGGGAGGAAACAAACTGCGCGCAAGCGATTTTGTCGCGCATCAAATCAGGGCATTCCGGGTACGCCAATCGAGCCAACATTTCAACATCTGAACCGAAAGCCGCGATATTCTCTCCGAATTTTTGTCTTCGATTCGTAAATTGCGTATAATAATTTTGGAGCGAATGTGCCTCCCCGAAACGCAATTCTAATTTAGCTTTCAGTTCTGAATATTCTAAATCCTTTAAATTTTGCATATTCCAACACCGCGCGCGCTTTCCCTCTCAAACACGATACTAAAACAGCCGTTTTTGTTTCGTTCTTCCAATGATTCGCGTACGCGATCAAATCGAACTGAGCAAAGAACTCTCGGAGGGGAGCACTACCGTCGAAAGTATCAGGCTTTAGTTTATAAGGTGTTTCATGACGCGAAGCACGTGATTCAATACGCTCCCGTTCCCCCGCGAACGTCGCCTCCGTGTGACGCAGAGCACGCGATTCAACGCGACGCGACTCAACGCTCCCTCGCTCCCCCGCGACAGCCGCCTCCACGTGACGCGCAGCATCCGATTCACGGCACTCC